ATTATTAGCAATAGTTTGAATTTACAAAGCAGTCCAAATGGAAAAGAGATCTTTGGCTTAAGTTGATTATATAAAAAGACTCCAAATAACCATTTAATTTAATTAATAACACACTTCCTAAGAGACACTCTATAAAGCAGTTCTCCAAATCTTGAATTAATCTATCATAGTACTGTGAATTACTTCCTTATATGTGTTATAATATTGTAAGGGACTCAATAGCCTCATTGAATCAAAAGTGTATGCCCAACCCCTTTCCACCTTATTTCTTTTTATCTTTTATTATTTTATATTTTCCTCTTTTTTTTTATTTGTTTTCTTTCTCTGTAACTATATGTTAGAATAAATTTGATATATTCTTGTGTCCTAATTATATTATATAATTAACTTTAAGTGATTTCCTTTTAATATAATTAGGAAGATATCTTATATTTTAATCTCAAATAATAAAAAGAAAATCTTAATTATTTGTAGTGTTTAAAGCTGAGATCAAGTGTCCCAATTAAGTGCTTATATAAATTTATAGGGTGTTTCTAAAATTTCCCTGTTTAAGGGTGTCTTCAATCCAAGTGGAAATGTAGAATAGATTATACTGTATAGTATATATTGGATTGTACCGTGTTTTTTTTTCTTTGTGGTAAATTGAGCATTTCCTTATTATATGGAGATGTTGTTTACTGTATCTCTTATAATTAATAATTCTGATATAGACTTTCTCTCAAATTCTTGTTTCCTATTATCCCTAACTTCCAATAAAGATAGGTTACATTCTGTCCCCAGGGATACCAAATTAAGACTAAGAGAATTTGATTTTATATTCTAATGTGGTGTAATCCAATTCTACAAACGAGATGGAGTAGGAAATAATACCAGAATCCCATAAATATTAGATGGGCTAGAGTGTTACTCTCATACTATCTTTAAACAGGTACATTATTTTCCGATAGGAATGCCCAATTTGTCAAGATCTTCTGAAGGGTCATTTATAGTTATACTTTTATCTCCATAGTAGATGAAAAGCTTAGTGGGAAAACCCCATCTATACGAAATATTATTTCTCAATGTTGTGGTCATATCTTTGACACATTTGCGACTGTTCCTTGTAGCCAGGGAAATCTGGAAACATAAAGATTTCCATGTATTTTGAATGCAGAGGATTATTAATTCGGCCATTCCTTAACAAAGAGTCTTTTTTTTTTCCTCTTTTCATAGCCCAGTAAGGGTGTCTTTTACACAATAACAAAAAATATTGGTAGAAGGGAGACCAACAATGGTCCGGGAATGCTATGCAATGCATTGTGATTACCGCTGTTTTGTATGAAACTTTTTGTATCTTGTTACAACATTGAATTTGCTTTCATCCTTTTTACCACAATAAAATGATATTGATAAAAAGATAAAAAAAACAAAAAAAAAACAAAGAGTCTTTATCTGCACAGTTCAAAAAAAACTATTTCTACTTCTTAATAAGTGATTGAACAGTACTGAATGGCATTTTCAAGGATTTGGATATCTTTTTATATCCTTTTCCATCTTTAAAAAGTTCCATTACCTTGTTATGCAGGTCTTTTGACAGTTCTTTTCTGCTCCACATGGCTCTGTATCTAGCCTGTTCAGTGCATCCACGTAAGAGCTAACAAACTCATTGACTATTTAAACACTAATTGCAATTTAAAAAGCCACAGGTGTGGGAAATTAACCTTTAATTGCCATTTTAACCTGCGTGTGTCACCTTGGGTGTCTGTAACATGGCCAAACATTCAAGGGTATGTAAACTTTTGATCAGGGCCATTTGGGTGATTTCTGTAATTATGATTTAAAAAGGAGCCAAACAACTATGTGATAATACATGGCTTCATATGATCTCTATCTTTCAATAAAATACATTTTTTTCACGATCAGTCATATTTTCAAAATCAATGTCAAAATTTCACAATTTCTGCCAGGGTATGCAAACTTTTGAGCACAACTGTAATTCAATTGCCTAAAATGCAGACAAATCACAATTCATTTGGAACCAAATGCACAAGTTTAGTAACTATGCCCAATAATGCTCCCATGTGTCTTACATTTTATTTCTGTGCTTGTGGGAATGCAAAATTCATTCTGAGAAAATTGATATATTGTGTTTTGCAAAAAAACATTGTTGTCTAATGAGAGACTCATTGGTCAAAGGTCAAAGTTCCCATTCATCAGAATAGAAAAATGGCAACACCAAAAAGGAAAGCTTTGGATATTGAGAATAATAAAGATAATGTGGGGAAAGGGTGAAAGAAGGAATGATGAAGAATAAGGGTGGAGAAGTAAAGAAAGTGAGGAAATGGCAATATAAGAATGTGATTGGCAGAGAGTCAAGAAAAGGATAAAAGAGAAGCCAAGACATCTGTTTCTGTGTGGCAAAATATATTCTCTCATTTATCTCACTCATAGCCCCCTGTGGAATAACTCCTACCTGACATGCAGTTGGCCACATACTTCATAATTTTTTACAAGCATCGACAAACACACAAATTCAGATTAGCCTAAATTTACTACTTAGACTACAATCTCCATATCAGGCCATCGCAGTTTAACAAATTTTTGCCCTAAAAATAATAACTAGCACAACTAACTGATTAATTAAGGGTAACTTAGCAGGTTTTTATGATAGAGTGATCAGAAAAGGGGAGCCATATACTGAAGGATAACTGTAATTCTGACTTGTAGTCAATGGTAGTGCTGGCATGGATGTCACACACAGTTTAAAGGTAGTAAGTAAATCTATACAATTGTTAGGAAAGCATTAAAATAGTCATTGCCAAAGTGATCTGAGAAAATGTGAAACTAAAATCAGTACATGATACAGTAAGGGGAAAAAGTATTTAGACGGCACATTTTTTATATTTTGAAGATATCAAGATATTAAACATCGTTGTTTGTTATAACATGCTAAGCTATACATAATTAGAACAGTGCTAGTTGCGCTTAAAGGACCACTCTAGGCACCCAGACCACTTCAGCTTAATGTTTGGGTGCCAGGTCCCTCTAGGATTAACCCTTTTTTTATAAACATAGCAATTTCATAGAAACTATGTTTCTAATAGGGTTAATCCAGCCTCCAAATCCTCTAGTGGCTGTCTCATTGACAGCCGCTAGAGGCGCTTGCGTGATTTTCACTGTGAAAAGGGTAAATGCTTTCCTATGAGACCGGCTGAATACACACGCAGCTCTTGCCGCGCGTGCGCATTTAGCCGAAAGGGAGGATCGGAGGCGGAGAGGAGGAGGAGAGCTCCCCGCCCGGTGCTGGGAAAAAAAACCTTTCCTCTCCCCAGAGCCGGGCGGGAGGGGGACCCTGAGGGTGGGGGCACCCTCAGGGCACTATAGTGCCAGGAAAACAAGTTTTTTTCCTGGCACTATAGTGGTCCTTTAAGATATGCATCGTGCTAGTTGTTTAAATGTTTGTCACTGTAGCGCATTAAAAAAAAGTAAAAAAAAGGTTAAGTAAAATAAGATGGATAATGCTCAACAATGCTAGATTATTTAAATTCGTGTGGTTGGAACGTGGTAGCCTAATTTACAGTGTAGCAGAAGTTGGTCTGTGTGTGGTGCCTGGACATGTTGTGTCGTGTATACATAGGCTGCAAGGTACTAAAGAACGAAAAGCATTGCTATATCTTGGCTAATATTCAAGGTAGCGTTACCACATAAACTATACATAAGTATTAACTGCTTTGTTAAGGTTAACTGGTTGTTGAGCCAACAGGTAGTCTCTTGGTTTAAACAATGCCCACAGTCTATTTATCACACTTTGCTTATGTGAGTTCCGTGAGGTCGAGGCAAAATCACAGAAGTGTGGGTAGAGTCCAGAGTGACCGCATGGACGCGATGGCGTGGCAGCGGGCCAGCCCTCAGTGAGGTAGCAACGTTCAGCCAACTCCCGTGATCTGTAAGGACCCGGCTTCTCCACCTAAGTCCTGGGGGGCTTCAGTGTTGCGGGTTGTGTTGTGCCGTCTGCCCCGCTTCTGCATAGCTGTCGGCGTGCCCATATTGTCTGCTGCTGTAGTGGCACGCCGGGCGGCGGTTCTCTCGCTTGTTGCATGTCTTTCCAGTTTCAGGTGATCCGCAGGGCGGCCCAGAAGTGGCCACAGAGGTCTTCCCTGGCAGTATGGGTCAGGCTGTGGTGTTTGAGGGCTCATTTCTTGAGGGCTGTGATGGGCAGGATGTCTGTCTGCTGCTTGCTTTCTCAGCCGGTATGGCAGTTTCCTTGGCTTGAGTCGCTGCACATTTATCGGGTTGTTGTGGGATGGGTGCCGGGCCCTAGGAGGCCGTTTCTGTTTACTTTCGCGTTCTCTGTGTGCAAGCTCTCCCTTGGCCTGCGCCTGTCTTGCGCGGTTGAGTAGTGTGGACCAGAAGTTGTCGAATATGGCCCCCAGAGTGTCAGTTGCTGTTGTCTTAGGGTCTGCTCTAGTTGGCTGTGGCAGTAGCTGGCTTGCTGTTTCTGCGCTTGGTGCGTCCGCCATTTTGTGTGTCTCCGGGTCCGTGTGGTTTGGAAGCTTTGTAGAGCTCGTGCGGGCCAGAATCAGAACAGGTCCCTGGGGACTGGGATAACCCCCACCGGTCTACGGGGGGAGGTGATATGGGAGCACCCCTTCGTCGGCCAGAGAACCGGGAGAGCGGCCGTCTCTCCTCGGCTCCCACCAGCACAGGCCGCATTTTGCGATGCCGTCTGCTTAGCACCGGGGAACCAAGTGTCGGGTAACCCCGGGTGCAGTTCAGTCTCCTGGTTTCGGTGATCGCGGTTAGCAGGTGGTCGAGCGGTATGCCCTGAATCTTGGCTCCAGACTCGGGAGCTCTCTCACATCTTGTCCGCTCAGGCTCTGCCCCCGATCAGTCTATAATTTTAAAGGTAGGTGTATTTTAATAGTGAGAGAAGACAATGACAAAAAAAATCCATAAAACGCATGTCAATGAGTGAAATAAGTATTTGATCCCCTATCAATCAGCAAAATTTCTGGCTCCCAGGTGTCTTTTATACAGGTAACGAGCTGATATTAGGAGCACTCACTTAATGGGAGTGCTCCTAATATCAGCTTGTTACCTGTATAAAAGACACCTGTCCACAGAAGCAATCAATCAATCAGATTCCAAACTCTGCGTCATGGCCAAGAACAAAGAGCTGGCCAAGGATGTCCTGGACAAGATTGTAGACCTACACATGGCTGGAATTGGCTACAAGACCATCACCAAGCAGCTTGGTAAGAAGGTGACAACAGTTGGTGCGATTATTCGCAAATGGAAGAAACGCAAAATAACTGTCAGTCTCACTCGGTCTGGTGCTCCATGCCAGATCTCACCTTGTGGAGTTTCAATAATCATGAGATCGGGAAGGAATCAGTCCAGAACTACACGGGAGGATCTTGTTAATGATCTCAATGCAGCTGGGACCATAGTCACCAAGAAAACAATTGGTAACACACTACCTTGAAAAACTGAAATCCTGCAGAGCCTGCAAGGACCCCCTGCTCAAGAAAGCACATATACAGGCCTGTCTGAAGTTTGCAAATGATCATCTGGATGATTTAGAGGAGAATTGAGTGAAAGTGTTGTGATCAGATGAGACCAAAATTGAACTATTTGGCATCAATTCAACTCACCGTGTTTGGAGAAGGAGGAATGCTGCCTATGACCCCAGGAACACCATCCCCACTGTCAAACATGGAGGTGGAAACATTATGCTTTGGGTGTGTTTTTCTGCTAAGGGGACAGCACAACTGCACCGCAACAAAGGGACGATGTACGGGGCCATGTACCGTCAAATCTTGGGTGACAACCTCCTTCCCTCAGCCAAGGCATTGAAAATGGGTTGTGGATGGGTATTCCAGCATGACAATGACCCAAAACACACAGCCAAGGCAACAAAGGAGTGGCTCAAGAAGGAGCACATTAGGGTCCTCCAGACCTTAATCCCATAGAAAATTTGTGGAGGGAGCTGAAGGTTCGAGTTGCCAAACGTCAGCCTCAAAACCTTAATGACTTGGAGAGGATCTGCAAAGAGGAGTGGGACAAAATCACTCCTGAGATGTATGCAAACCTGGTGGCCAACTACAAGAAACGTCTGACCTCTAAGATTGCCAACAAGGGTTTTGCCACCAAGTACTAAGTTGAAGGGGTCAAATACTTATTTCACTCGTTGACATGCAAATTAATTTATAACTTATTATTATTATTATTTTACATGCGTTTTTCTGGATTTTTTTTTTTGTGGTTGTTCTGTCTATCACCTGCAATTAAAATTATAGACTGATCGTTTCTTTTTCAGTGGGCAAATGTTCAAAATCAGCAGGGGATCAAATAGTTTTTTCCCCCTCACTGTAGTATTTAAATATATGTAAACATTTTTAGAATATGTAATGTGTCTTTTAATGAAAGTAGCTGCACCATTCATATTAGTGCAGCCAAGCAATTGCAAGATTCAAAATCTGAAAGGAAAATGCTGTTGTTTAAGACACATACCAGGATTCACTGCTATAAATAAAAGGGTTTATTCACAGAACTTAGTGAAGTGAAGTGTGGTCAACTGAAAGCCAAATTGCAAAACGTAGAACAATGTAGCTCACTCAGAAAAATGGCAGTCACATTTCAACTAATTCTGCTTGAAGTTTGCAATTTTGTTATCAATTTACTAGTTTAATGTTTAGCAAATAAAAGGAAACAGCAAATACTCCACGAAAGATCAAGGGCTTGAATAGTCAGTTTTTATATCCACTTATATGAACATGTTAAAAAATGAGATATAGCACTTGAACAGCATCTTTTGCTGTAGCACAGAACACTAGTCAAGTGGAAGAGAGTACAGAAATAAGTCAACTCTTCATAACTTGGGGGAAAAAACACTTACAGAAAAAACACATTGCTTCTCCACAAAAATAATATCTGGTAAATCTATAGGGCCCCATACTGAAACATCCTTATGTCCCCACAACATATTTTCAATCTGACAAACTGATAAGGAAAAATAGAAAAAACCCAAGATATGTATTCGCATCAAAGGGACACTCCAAGCTCAGAATGATGTTGTTATGGTGCCAGGAGGTCCCTGGTGCGAGCTTAACTTTAGGTATTAAACTGTTCACAGACAGTTTAAACCCAAAGTCTTGGATTCAGTTTATAGCCTTGCCCCTGTCCTTCCGCTTCTCTGAGATTCTTGAAAGAGGAACTCTTCGAAAGCCTAGGATAGGGGTTCCGCTGACCGGCTATCTCTATGTGTCATTATTCCATCCATTGTCTCCTATCAGAACACCCCAGTGTTATCATTTCAATCTTCTCTCCATCCAAATGTCAAAATCTCAACATATTCTTCACTCCAGTGTCACCCTCTCTTCACCCCTTTGTAACCATTGCATCACCTAGATGTCCCCATCTCCCCAACATAGTGTTCCGAGCTCCTCACCTCAATATCACTCTCTCTCTCTCGTTTCCCATACTTGCCACAATCTTCCCTCTCCTCAATCAAGTGAAATTCCCTCCTCATAACAATGAAACCATATCATCACTCAAGTGTCATCATCGTCAACCCAGTGTTTCCTTGTCAGTTCCTCCTCCTGTATTACCAGCTCATCCCAGTGTCCCCTTAACTCAGCTATCCACCCCAGTATCATCCACTCCCCTAACAGTGCTCATCTATTCACTCTTTACCCCACTTTCACAATCTTCTCACCCTTCCACAATTTCCCCCAGTATTGATGCTAATTGATATCTACACCATTTCTATTGCTTTCCCAGACTCTTTGCAAACAATCTCTCTCCTTCTTTTCCAGAGTTGTCCCCATTTGCTCAACCTTTTTTCTGCTGCTCTCCTATTTTCCTTGCTTTCATTACCTCATTTTCATATTTTGTCCTCCTCATTTCCAATGTCCTCAGCCCTTCTCTATCTATACTCAATGACTCTTTCTACAAGCATTCCTAATTTTTCTGCATGCTGTCTCCCTCAAATTAAACTTGCTCTCCCCATCTATCTTTCATCACACTCCATACCTCTTTGCCATATTCCTGTTTTTTTCCTTCATAATATATAGGTTTCTTGGAAGCTTTATTAACAGTTAGATATAATATTTTATAAATATTTATATATGTGCAGCCGCCATAGTGGTTATATTACTGTATTCCAATCTCACTTTACCAAAGTCTCTATGTATAATTTAAAAATGGGTGTAAATCTCTGACATGTTCGCTTTCAACATTGTGTTATACTGTGCATATGTTATTTCTTTCACGAGTTATACTTGCTCACCTGCAAAAAAAAAAAAATATATATATATATATATATATATATAAAAAATCTAAGGATGTGTAGCATTTCATACTGAAACACTGTACATACAGGGTACTTGCACCATGACCACTTCAAAATGCTGTGAGTCGGGGCCAGAGTGATGTGGGGTGAGGGAGGAAGCAGTGCTAGAAGAGCTGGCTCCCAGACACTGTATTTGAGGTGGCCATCTGGGCAGTTGTTGGCGTTCTCCAAGCTTTTGGTTGAAAAACCAGGGACTACACCACTCAATTAAAAGACTCATATTTTATACAGTTATGGGAAAGGTAGAGTACACATTTTTTGAATTCTATGGTTTTACATATCAATCATCTGTTTCTTAGCAGGTCTTAAATCTAGGTAAATGCAACCTCATGAACAACACATGAAATATTACACTGCGTCATGATTTAACAAAAATAAAGCCAAAACAGAGAAGCCAACTGTGAGAAACTAAGTACACCTTTTGATTCAATAGCTTGTAGAACCACCTTTAGCAGCAATAACTCGAAGTAATCTTATTCTCTATGACTTTATCAGTCTCTAACATTATTATGGAGGAATTTTAATCCATTCTTATTTACAACTTACTATGTTTGCTTCGTTTCATTGAGGTTTGCTGGTATTTGTTTATGTACAGCTCTCTTAAGGTCCTTTCACAACATTTCAATCGTGTTGAGGTCGGAACGTTGACTGGGCTATTGCAACACCTTGATTCTTTTCTTTTTCAGCCATTCTGTTGTAGATTTGCTGGTGTGCTTGGGATCATTGTCCTGTGGCATGACCTAATCTCGACCAAGCTTTAGCTGTTGGACAGATGGTCTCACATTTGACTCTAGAATACTTTGGTATACAAAGGACTTCATGGTTGACTCAATGACTGCAAAGTTTCCAGGTCCTGTGGCTGCAAAGCCAGCCCAAATCATCACAGGTGTTTGTGCTGATACGCCGTGTTTGGTTTTTTTCCAATTGTGGTGCTGTGCATTATGGCCAAATATCTTCACTTTGGTCTTCTCTTTCCAAAGGACATTTTGCAGGAAGTCTTGTGGTTTGTTCTGATGCAACTTTGCAAACCTAAGCCGTGCTGCATGTTCTTTTAAGAGGGAAGAGGCTTTTACCTGACAACCCCTCCAAACATTACCAGTTCAGTCTTTTTCTAATTGTACAATCATGAACTTTAACATTTAACATGATAAATGAGACCTTTAGAGTCTGAGATTGGATTTTGGATTTTTTGCAATTACTTTGAGCATTGCATGGTCTGACCTTGGAGTGAAATTGCTGGGACGTCCACTCTTGGGAAGATTGGCAACTGCATTGAATGTTTTTCACTTTTGAATAATACTTCTCACTGTAGAACGATGGACTTCAAATTGTTTGGAAAAGGCCAAATAACCCTACCCAGTTTGATGGGCGGCAACAATTGTTCCTCTAAGATCACTGCTGATGTTTTTCCTCCTTGACTTTGTGTTAACACACATCTGAATGTTCCAGACCAGCAAACTACTAAAACTTCAGCTCTTATAGAGGTGATCACACTTGCTGATAATCAATTAATCAAGGGCATTTGATTAGCACCTGTCTGCTACTAAGCCTGGTAATTCCTTTGGAAGCAGTAATGGCTACTAAATTTTTCACACATGGCTTCTCCATTTTGGCTTTATTTTTGTTAAATAAATCATAACACTGTGTAATGTGGCATGTGTTGTTCATCTGAGGTTGTATTTACCTAATTTTAAGACCTGCTAAGGAACAGATGATTTTTATTATTTCCTTATTTGTAAAACCATAAAATTCAAAGTGGGT